GCCAGTCCGTTAACACACGCATACTCTGTCTTCGCATTGCCTTTACAGTTGATCCTACCTTTTCTGTTCTTTTAGCTACTGTATTTAAGATAGTAAAGTGTTAAGATAGTTAAACCTTAAGATAGCGTCAATAAATGTGTTCAAGCTTAATTTTATATTCCGAGTTTATTTTTATTCGCCAAGTCACCTGCTCAATCACACACTGCCAACAGGTAATGGGCCCTAAATGGTATAGTAGGTGTAGAATTTTCTCGATCGCGTCTTGTGTTTCTTCTTTTCTTCTTTTTTCCGCTCCGCGCTTGAGCTCATCGCGCGTTCCCTGTGTGCTTTATTTTTACCTTTTTTATGTGGAAAAGTAATGGCGGAAGAAACCGGGAGCTCTGTGTCGGGTAGCGAGCACTGCGAGACGGAAGAGCCTGGCAGTCCTCTCACCCCAACTACCGCCGAAGCAGCAGAGGGACAACCCCGGGAGGCAGCAGAACGGAGCCAGGATGGAGGCACAGCAGCCAAATCACCTCGAGATGCGGACGCTAGCCATACTCTCGAGGCTTCGGGCGGAGCAATAAGAAAGGTGGATATTAAGAAGAGAGTGAGCAGCAGAAAGTACTAGAAACATATATTGCTTTGAAGACTCGGTAATAACGTGAAGTGTTGTCGTCGTTAACTCATGTTCATGTACAGTTTCCCTTAAAAGACTTGCGTGTTGCCTTAAGATGGAGCAAGACAGCTCACATAAGATTGCATGTTTGAGGTTCCCTTGATTAGAAGGCTTTCCCTTGTTTTTACGGAGATTCGCGGAACTCGAGAGAGCCGGCACGCGTTTGTTTATGTGAGGGAGGGGCCCACATCGTGACAAAGGAAGCACGTTTCTCAATAAACCTGCCAGTCATCGCCACGGGGGAACCCTCGAGGCGAGGAGGGGATGTGCGCCTTGGTTATGGCTTGCGTTCGGCCGAACTGAGTGTGCGCGTCCTCTCACGCTACGGCTGGTGGCGCGCGTCGTAGTAAATGCTGTTAATCGGCCATTTTAGTTCTCTCTCTCCATCCATGTCACACATCATGCTAGCGCCTTTTTCCCTCGCATTTACTCACGCTCAATCTCCGTGTCACTTCCACAAGAAAATTAATAGCCTAACGCGCACGCAAACATAATATAAAATACTTTTGCCTATTTATTCCCTGTTAATTTATGGTAAAAACGCCATCAATATGCTAAATGATGCATATAAAAAGATTGAAGACGATCTAGGGGAATAGACGAGGTGGTCGTAACTCGTAAAAACAACCAGGCCATATTTTCCGGAAATAATGAAACTGTTGCATACATGGGAGGAGATGCACATCACAATCAAGATATGTTAGACCTGTTTAACTTGATAGGAAAATGTGCTGGGAAAATTCGACTCGTCCATAAACAGCGTACCCAAAGCAAAGGTCCTAAAGATAGAAAAATAAATTTGATTGATACCTCATCTAAAGATAAGAATAAAGACTTGAAAGATATTAAAATAAATTTGATTGATACCTCATCTAAAGATAAGAATAAAGGCCCTAAAGATAGAAAAATTAATTCGAGTAATGACTCATCAAAAGATAAGAATAAAGATGTGAGAGATAGAAAGAAAAATTTTACTGATATTTCAACTCCTAATAAGGTTAAAGATTTGAAAAGCAAAAATTTAGATTCAATTGATAGCCAATTTAAAGACCTGCAGAATAGGAAAGATAACCTGAAGAAAGAGCTAGATAGCCTACATAAAGAAATGGTGCATGCAAATTATGAACTTAAGAAAGAACTAATGAAAAGAACCGGTCAAAACATCAAACCTAAATAAATTATATACTCATGAAAAGAAATTACAGAAGCCTCAAAGAAAGACATCGAGGAGATCAGGAAGATGATACAACAAGAAAGGCATCGGCAGAGCTCCTGGATGTCGATGAGGTTTGAGGTTGTTGCCTCACAACATAAGAAGGCCCTGGAAAAGGAAAGAGAAGAAAATAGGAGGGCTCAAGAGAAGATTCGAGCTGAGTTTGAGCAGCGTCTTGCCACTCAACAAAGAAAGATGGAGGCTCTTGAGCGAGAACTGGCCAGGAGTCGAATACAAGAGGTAAATAAATTTACTACATCTACTCCGGGACCTAAATTATGTAAACGACTGATTAATCTAAACTCCAACTCCATTGATAATTTGCTGATGTTTGAACGCGCTGTGCCTAATGATAGTCTAAAGATAGAAGTCATTAATAAAGATAGCCTAGGGTGTTTTAATTATTCTCTCACTAATGCAACATAACTAGAATTATTCTTAAAACAATTGCAGTCAGAACTAAAAAGTAAAAAATTGCTTCACACAATTGATTCAAAACTGGAAGCCACTATGAATATTACTCAAGAAAAAATGGAAGAAGATAAAGAACAGGCCCTAAACGTAATACTAGGTAGATTGTCCCTAGATTACCAAAACAAAGTATATCACATTACTGATCCATCAACAATGATACAAAAAATTAAAGATATGAAAAGGGGCAACATAAAAATGAGCGCATATCATATACGTAACAAAATACATTCCGTTAGATCTGACCCCAAAAAGCAAAGTGCTACTAAATTTTGTGAATTTTTTGATGGACTGGTAAGAGATTTTGAATTAGTTAGTAAAACTAACAGTTTCCCCGAACATAAAAAAAGAGATAGTTTCTATCATGCGATTATCGATGGAGTACCGGACGTAAAAATAGCCCATTTTAACAGGCTGTTTGAAAGCGAGGATGGCTTATCTTTTAAGTACTTAAGACAATATATCCTAAAACAGGAGGCAGAAGGGTCACCTGCACGACCAACAACGGGTGCTGGAGTAAGTCGAGGTGGGGCGAACGCTGGACCGAGTCGAGGTGGGACCGGTGCTGGGCCAAGCCGAGGTGGGGCAGGTTCTCGACCAGCCACCAACGTAACTGCTGCCAATGTGGCTACCGCCAGCACTCTATGCTACGAGTGCAATGATAACGGGCACTATTCGAGGGACTGCCCGAAAAAAGGGCAGAATCTCAGGCGGTGCTACACTTGCCAACGGTTCGTGCAGAACCTGCGAGAACACATAGGGAGGTGCAGAGGTAATTCTAACAAAAGTAACGATTGGGATTTTAAACGCAACACTGGTGGTGGTAACAATAAGAATAATTTTAAAGATAGTAATAAACGGAAACCTGAAAAACAGCTTACAAATCACAACAACAAGAAAGCCAAGGTCGATAAGAAGAAACAAGGCGAAGAAGGTAAAAATAATGTAGAAATACCTAGGTATAATGCATGCAGTGGTTTGTTTGCTGTTAACCCCGAAACTTTGCTCTCTACGCGCACGGAGGAAACACGAGATAAAGGTTGCAAGAAAATTGAGTTTGTAGCAGATTCAGGCGCCACAGAACATTTTGCTAATTCTAAACTCTATTTCAAAAATTTTAATGAATGTAAAAATAAATTAATTAAATGTGCGAACAAAGATTCCTCCGCGGACTTGAGAGCGGAGGAAGAAGGGTGCGTTTTGGGTAAAAATAACCAAAACAAGATAGTCCTAGATAGAGTTGTATGCGCTAAGGCACTCGCTGGAAACTTGCTGTCACTTCGCCGTTATGCTGAAAGAGGCAGGAGTATATACCTTGATAACACAAAGCTAGATATATTTGATCCGCGTTCTAACGAGACTATAATTTCTGGTGTCTACAAGAGCCCTTACTGGATAGTAGAACTACTGCAAGATGGCCAGAGCACAAGTAATAATGAGAAGTGCAAAGAAATTATAGACTGTTTAATGGTAGAAAATTCCCCGAAAGCAAAGACTGACAAGGTTCAGCAAGTCAGCACTAACGATAGGAGCTGCCCAAATAATGAATCGGGAAGAGCTTGTCCACACAGTTCTTATCAAAGTGAATTTAAGAAAACAGTTAAGGATAGAAAAATCAATAATTGTGATGACCTTATGATTGGTGAGAATCCAGAAGCTCAAAGCCCGTTTACAGAAAAGTACAGAATATTTGAAAGAAATAACAGAGCCATGCTCTGGCATGTAAGATTCGGACACGCCTCAGCAGAATATCTCAAGGCGCTACAAAGAAAATATCCGGACAATAAAGATTTGAATAAGGCCGTCTTCAACAGCTTCATTACAACATGCGAGGTGTGCTAAGTTGCTAAAATCAAGAGATTGCCTTTCAGTACTAAAAGAGACAGGGCAACCAAACCACTCAAAATAGTTCATGCTGATACAATGGGACCGATCAGCCCAGCTACTTATCCTAAAGAATATAAATTTATAATCGTCTCTACGGATGACTCCTCAAGATTGACTATGGCATACCCAGTGAAGACAAAATGTGAAGCAGGACGTTGTTTGGACAATTTTGTGAAAAGCGCACGAAACCTGTTGGGTTTTGATAAAAGATATGCTATTTTCGAACCGATCAAGGCACGGAGTTTACAGGAGGCCAAACGGTAGAAGTTCTCCAGAGGTTGGAAGCAGAACTTCAGTTGGCCTGTCCAGATATCCCTCAGCACAATGGAGTCTCAGAACGGATTAATCGTACCTTGCAAAACAAGGTGCGAGCCTACATGTACGACTCTGGGCTCAGGGAGAACATTTGGGACTTAGCCCTGGGCAGTGCAGTATATGCCTACAATCGGACACCTTACTGGTCTAACGATATGATAGCCCCTTTAGAAAAGTTTGCACCCAATCTAAAGATAGACATAACCCAAATCAGAAGATTTGGCTGCGTCGCTTTTATCAAGATACAAAGGAACACTGGAACCAAAGTCGGTCCACAAGGGATACGAGTCGTGCTGGTTGGTTATACCCCCACTGGCTATTCTTTCTTAAGACCTGAAGATGGAAAACTTTATGAGAGTCGAGACGTAAAATTCTAAGAAAGACTCGTGTTCAGAGATATCTGGGGAAAGGACAAAAAAGCAAACTGCAGAAACCACAAGACAGATATTAAACAAGATGAATGGTTCGTTAAGTTTGAAAAGACTAGCCCTAAAGAGTCATTGGAAACGGAGGGAGAACCAGTAGTCAAGAGAAAGCGCGGTCGGCCCAAGAAAGCCCTAAGCAACTCACTAGAATAAATGATACGAGTTTTGCAGGAGCCATCGACACAAACAAGTTGAATAAACTGCTTCAATCGAAGGGCGATGTTGACTGTTTGATCGCAGAAGTCGAAGATGAAATGTCACATGCCCTGATTGCTGGACTGATCAAAGATCCCGCAAACTACAAAGAAGCTGTCGCATCTTCGGATCGCGATAAATGGCTCAGAGCAATTGATGAAGAACTGGAATCAATGCGGAAAAACCAAGTGTGGAAACTTGTAGAAAGACCAACCGTAAACGCTGAAGGTGGCAAGCCCAACATTATCGACTCTAGGTGGGTTTTGAAGAGAAAAATAGATAAAGATGGAAACACGAAGTTCAAAGCGAGGTTGGTGATTCGTGGCTTCAAAGATAGGAACAAGTACGATCTGCAAGAAACCTATGCCCCGGTGTCTGGGCTGGCCCTGGTAAGATCAGCAATATCAATAATAAATAGATACAATCTGGAGACTTGCCAACTTGATGTCAAGACAGCTTTCTTAAATGGAGCTATCAAAGAAGAGATATATATGGAGATTCCTGAAGGCCTGCTTAATGGTGACAGTTTCAAGAAAACTCAGGTTTGTAAATTGGAAAAAGCCCTTTATGGACTTAAGATCAGCCCAAAAAGATGGAATGAACGGTTTCGCGAGACTGCATCTAAATTGGGACTACGGTCACATACGAGCGAGCCCTGTCTATATACATGGAGAGAAGCCGATAACTTCTTAGTCCTGATCCTATACGTGGATGATATGATGATAGCCAGCAATTATGTAGGCAAAATGAATGAAATTAAGACTGGTCTGCAATCTGAGTTTGAGATGTCAGATCTTGGCGAGGTTGACACATTTCTAGGCATCAAAGTGGAAAGAGATATGAAACTTCACACAATTTCACTAACACAAACACCATACATAGATAAAATGTTAGAGAAATTTGGATTTAACGAGTCAAAACCCTAAAGAACACCAATGGTGACAAATCAAGTTTTGAATCGGCAAAGAAAAAATAGAGAAGAGTCTGAAGATGCTAGAGAGTGTAGCACAACTGTAACGAGAGAAAATGTGCCGTACAGAGAAGCAGTCGGTAGCCTGCTGTATTTAGCCAACACAATTAGACCAGACATTTCATACTCAGTGAACGTACTGAGTAGACATCAAATCGGCCCAACTGAAGATGATTGGAAAATGGTCAAACGGGTATTTCGATATTTACAACACACAAGGACCCTAGGATTAATTTACAGAGGCTGTAAAGATGGATTAGAAGCCTATTCAGATGCGAGTTTGGCAGACTGTAAAGGCTCAATAACAACAGGTGGATATCTTCTAAGGCTGTATGGGGATACAGTTGCTTGGAAAACAAGAAAGCAGAACTATGTTGCTATTTCAACCTGCGAAGCAGAATATGTAGCAATGTGCAACGCAAGTCAAGAATTGATTGGACTAGAGCCCTCTATAAGTATTATATTGTCTTGCACTTTATTGCCCGCGGATCTACGGTGCGACAACAAAGCCGCCGAAGCAAGTGCTAAGATATATGGTGACAAAAGACTGAGACACATGACCGAGATAAAGGCTCACTACGTTAAGGAATGTGTATCCAGAGGAAAAATAATTCTTAAATGGATTTCATCCAAGGAACAACTAGCAGATATCTTTACAAAACCCCTGCCGTTTGAACTGCATGAAAGACTAACGAAAGAAATTTTGAATGTTAATTAGCGTAAAATGCATGATAATTAAATTTGAACTAAAGATAGTAAAATTAGTAAATTGATAATAGATAGATAATGATGGTAGATATGCTGATTAATGTACTTTCTGTGTATGTTTTAGCTCGTCGGAATCAACCACAATGAGTGACCCAGAAGTCCACGCGCTCCACATCATTGGCTGATTTAAACTCATTTATATTCAGTGTTAATGTTCAAATATAGCTTTTCTTTTCATTTTTAATAAATTCAGATACGAACGAAAGGAAGTGTTAGATGTATTATTGGCGCTCGTAACTGAATTATTACGCATGCGCAACAGCAAGAAGACGAGACGCAGTGACGCTGCACTTCAGCGTCAAGTAACTACGGTTTTACTCTCTCTCGCGCAGTCAGCCAGTTCGTTAACACATACATACTCTGTCTTCGCATTGCCTTTACAGTTGATCCTACCTTTTCTGTTCGTTTAGCTACTGTATTTAAGATAGTAAAGTGTTAAGATAGTTAAACCTTAAGATAGTGTCAATAAACGTGTTCAAGCTTAATTTTATACTCCGAGTTTATTTTTATTCGCCAAGTCACCTGCTCAATCCCACACTGCTAACACTAAAAATGTGTGAAATTTTAATTTTTGGACATTTTGGTGTCCATAACTAATAGAGGTTATGATTGCAGGCATTTGTACTCATAGATTATTTTTACAAACAAGTTTTCGGGAAGTATAATAAAAATTTTTCTGTAGTTTTACTACCAGCGAATAGAGTCACCGAAAAAGTGTCATTTTTTAAATTTTCTGGCGTTCAAGTGTACATAACTAAAAGAGGTTATGTTTCAGACGTTTCTATGAATACGATAGTTGTATTACTGTGCAAAGAGTATATTTAAATACTTTTTGTATTTTTATAATCGGTGAATGGAAAACTATTGCCGAAAAAAATCTTTTTTTTTAATTTCCTGGGAATTTAAGTGCCCATAATTAACATAGATTATAACTCCGGGCATTCATACCCTCAGTTTTGTTGTGTTTATGTTGGAAAAGTATAACAAAATTTTTTTTGTAATTTTAGCACCGATGAATGGAAAACTATCGTTGAAAATGTGCGATTTAAAATATCTTTTAGATGTAAAATGCCTTGTAAATAATTGAGGTTGTGTTTGTAGATGCTTATAACTTATGTATAGTTGTATTAGAGTATACAACTAATGATTAAAATATTTTTATCTCAATATTACAAATGAATAGGAAGATCAATTCGAAAATTCCTACTTGTACCTTTAGTTTAACGTGTTATATGTATGTATAATTTTTTTGTACGTTAAAACATTCTTTTGGCAGTTTTTATTATCAATTACTATATTGTATGTTCGTATAATGTATTTTTATTAGTTATTTCAGTTATGAAACTAAATGAAATAAATTCGAATTTTCGTTGGATTCTAACGTTTTGAACTTCAGATATATTGAAATTAGTTTTCTCGCATTGTTTTTTCAACTTGTATCTTAATGACTTATTCAGGTGATATTTTATTGGTTGCTTTTTTTATCCAGTGCTGCTTTTCAGTGTTCATGTGAATTGGAACATTTCGCAGTAAAAGTAGGCTACCACCTCGTAGATTTTTCACTAAAAATCAACAAAAAAATAAAAAGAATAGTTCCCAATATGTGCGATCTTTCTGATACTTCAGCAGACACCTAGAGTTTCAACAAAAATGTAATTTTTTTTTTTTCAACATCAAAATGTCTCAATTTTGTTAACACTACTCTCTGATTTCAATTGGCAATATTCTTTTTCAACCCATCAGCAGTATGCAAAAAGATTTTTCTATATACATGAGACCACAAAGATAGTTTACTTCTACCACTTTTTTGTTTTTTTTTGAGTTCCAAGTATTTTTTTTTTTTTTTTTCGAGACTGCACAGCACACACACACACACACCTACATAGAATATGTCAAAGAATTTTGAACACAGCGCAATAATAGCATTAGGTATACCAACTTTCGATCTTCTTAACTAAAATAATTCAGGATATGATTTTTGATCCAACCAGTCATCTTGAAATGTACACAGATTTATTAATTTATCCGACTTTACTCATTTCTTGAAATTATTCTCACTACAAATAATCGAATACGTAACCACCGACTAGAAGCAACTGAGCTCTATCATACACGAATGCACGATGCATAAAAATCTTAAACATTTGACTACAATTTGAACGTAACAAGTACATGCAACATCTGCAAAATCGCAGCGAAAGACACAAGCTGAACATCGTATTTTGATCAATGCATTTCTGAAAACTGTTCATAGCTGCACGTTGTAACAGAACTAATGTACATATACTATCAGTAATCTAACACAAAAGCTGTAATTTTTTTTTGTTTAACTAACAAAAAAGCCTTATCCCGGACACATTTGTACTGATTATGTAGGTGAAAGTATATTGTTGTTATTTATAGGTACTTTGATAACTAATCATTTTTCACTGAGTAGCAAGTTCTCCAACTAACTTGAGAAATAAAAGCAGTTATCAAAATTGAAAGGTAACAAGTCTACTTCTTTCAGGTTATTTAGGAAGCTAGCGACAAAATGCGTTAAAAATTATCTGTGTCAAATTATTCGCTTACACCCAAAATCGTTTACAAATTTACAAGGACCGAAGCTAAAAATCAAGTACATTTCTTGGTATTTCAGGATTTATTTTAAAATCAAGATCATTTTCAGGATTTTAAGATTTTTAAAAAACACTAGAAACCCTGTTGACAGATAGGACGTTGGTCCTAGAGCTTTTAAGTGGTTGTATTCCTAGGTAACATTTCCCAGACTAATATTTGGATGTCTTTCTTCCGAAAGTAGTAAAAACAATATTCAAATCTATTAAATACACAAGGAGTCCTCTTATTAACTTCTAGATCCACCCTAACAAAATGTAAAAAAATGTGAGGCATTACATGTCAAAGTTTAATGAAGGGGTAGCTAAATTAAGTGTTGCAATTTTATGGTGTCAGTTTGGTAAAGCACCTACAATTTTAAAGAGATTAAAATTAACTAGCTTCACTGGAAAAAAGTGTATTTTTTAATTCCTCTAAGTACAACTACTATTTATTAACGTTTTCTGGCGTTAGATCACATATTATACAACGCAAAATTAATTAAATAAGTAGTAAAAACGATTTTTTTAGATGCGCAAGCAGAATACATGAAAAAGATGGTAGGATTTTTCTACACATAGATCCATTGTACACAAAGAAGCAAAAATTCTTCAGTTGTGTAATACTTATAAATCAAAGCTAATAGTTTCGAAAAAAGGAAAGAAAGTCAAATAATAAAGAATGTATATGAGCCTATATTAAAATATTGTTTGAGAAGTTTAGTGCGAAGAATGCTTGGCATATGAAAATAAGTAGTACATAGTAACATGGAAAAGTTAAAATAAAGATTTTGTGGATTACAAGATGATAAAATGGATTTAAAAAGCATAGAAAAGGTAATCAGAAAGCCGATATTAGAAGCCACAACATGGAATTACGGAATAAACATTACCTAGAAGATTCACACACTTCAAGTTTACTATGTAGAAAAATAAGTGGATCATCAGATGAAAATAATTAAAAGAGATCAAAAGTAAGTTCAACATTAAAGAAAAATAGAAAGTCTAAGACTTCAGGTGATTAATCGCATCTATTGATCTTTTTAAGCTGCTCGCATTGAAAAAACTTTTAAGCATACTGTTAGCTCCAGAATTCTCAAGTATGCAAATTTAGTTCTTTGCTATTTTTTTTGCCTGATTGACAAAATATATTTAATCGTACTAAATTATTTTTTATCTATATCAGGACTTTAACTAAGTATTTGCAATACTTTCATTTTTTTTTTTTTTTCCTTTTTGAGCAAAAAATCGGGGCTGTAGCTAACAAATTTTTTTTCTTAAAAACAACAGATTCTGAAAAAAATCGCAGAGTACTGTTTTTTATAAATAATGTGCAATAGAATCAAATATTATTTTCCTTGAAGTAGAAACTGTTTTTCAAAGTTTTCGTATCGGACAGAATTATTAACAATTAATAAAGATTTAAATTATCGTAAAGTTATGTTTATGAGCAGTAGGCATGCAAAGCTTAGTTTGGCACATTTTTTCGAATTCACTGTTTATATTTTGTAATTTTACTTTAAGCATCATAATGTTAATATAAATAAAGAGGGATCGATGCACAAAGCGCACATAAAGGCAAATCCTTACTACTATACATTTGTGTAAATAATTTCAACATTATTTTTTAATCACTTTTAACCCTATTACCCGAATACCTCATGATCTCTATTCCCAAGTCTTTAACAAACCTCTTGCCACCAGGACCTCATACATATTTCTACCGGTTGACTACTCCATCCGAAAAATTAAAAAAAATTCATGGACAATTTTTTTTTGCTGGCTTGTACCCTTAATTTTTTTCAGATTTTAAATCTAATCTGGACAAAAGAGAAGTATATAAATTTTTAAATCATTTTTTCAGTTACGTTAATTTTACTTGGTTAGGTTTTAAATAACTATTTTTAATGTATTTTTTTGCGTACATCACGATCCTGCTATCATAGAAATCATTTTTTAACTGGAACTTAGTCAAAAATCGAGAAGACTCATTTTTTGCCTTTTTTCATATTTTTGCAACATAACATTTGAGCTCGTTGGTTCAACGCATTCTCATACATCTCAAAATGCTCTATGATCATTAAAGATACAATTTCTCATGCGTAGGTACTATTCTCAGACCAAAAGATGGTTTAAATTCGCTGAAAACCCTTTTTTTACATTTTTTTAAAATTTGTAACATAGCTTAAAAGATTCGTGATTAAATGCACTTTTTTTTTTTTTTTTTTTATACCGGGTTACCACGATAGCCTACTTGGCCTAGTCACGGAAGCCACCCACTCACCACCTATGTGTGGGGGTGTATTGCCACACTTATCTCTAAACCTTTTTCCTCGCCTCCTACCTGAATCCATGGGCACAGTGTGAGTATCTCTGGTGGAACACCTTGCCAGTTAAGCTGACACTCTGCACCGATGGTGCATCGGGTCCACTCACCTCTGTGGAGCCATTCCCCGGAGAAGACTCCATTATTCCAGGACGTCTACTCCTCGCCGGTTAAGCCGGCGCTCTCTGCCGAAGCATCGGATCCA